CTAGGAATAATCCTAAGGGGTTCATACATCTTTCACATAGGCCAACGGGATACCAATTCAACTAGCATGCAATACATAAGACTCTTTTATCCTACGAATGGTACCCGAAACATCAAACTAGACTCAGGCACGATAAACGGAGTCCGTTGGGACATCACGAGGATCGGGGAAACATCAAACGGGGAAACCACCATCCCAAGTTGGGATTTTCCAGCGGGTGGCCGGCGGGTAGAGGACCACCCGCCGGCGGCGAGATGCTGGGCAGCGGGTGCCCGGCGGGCAGGCGACTGCCCGCCGGCTGCCCGCTGCCGGCGACGCCCTTTAGGGGCAGCGGGTTCCCCTACCCCCACTGACTCTTTTTCAATACTTGGGTCCCGGGATCTTTTGTGGAATCCGAAACCATGTTTAGACACTCTTAAGCGCAAACGACAACACCACGTAGTCAAATAACGTATCAAAATCAAGAATCACATTGAACATATCCTAACATGACTTCTAAACATAATCAACACCCGAACATGCGAATTCCCACCCAAATATACCAAGAATATCACAATACGAAATTCACAATTCAACCTAGGGCTCTAATCATATTTAAATCACAAAATCATACTTTATCTTTAAGATCAAGAACATCAAGATTTATCAAGAATCAACACACAATTATCAAGATCATCTTATAATCATCAAGATTAACAAGATCAACACATAAGATCATTTCATCAACATCAAGATCATATCATAGTCATCATAAAAGATTTATCAAGACACAAGCATAGAGAAGGAGCCAAAGAAGAAGATTATAGCAAGGAAAATAGGTTTTGTTGAGACATGGGTTACCTCTTAGCCTTAATTAGAATCCTTGGCTATAAAGGGTCTTTCTTTAAGATCTCTTCTTCTAGATTTCTCCTATGGGAATTCTTGGGGATTCTTGTGTGGTGAAAGTTATTGTGGCGTGAGTTCTAGGTGCCTCCTATGTCCTTTTATATATCTAAGAGTCCTAATTAGGGTATGAATGATATGGATTTACTAATTCTATTTCTTATAGGACTAAGGGTTTGGTTTAGGGATAAGGGTCCATGGTCTATGGTGGACCCTTCCTAGTTAATTAATGGATTTTAATTCTCTTTTTAGGGTAAGCAATTAAATAATTAGTTTGGGTTAGAGGCCGTAACACGGGGTGTTACACGACACCTCGGCCACGATTGGTCGAGGCGACGCCTCGGCCACGATCGGCTAAGGCGACGCCTCGGCCACGATCGGCTGGAGGCACGCACCTCGGCCAACTTAGGTCGATGCTCGTCTCGACCAGCATACAAAAAAAAAAGAAGATCGAAGCCCGTGTCGGCCACGATCAGCCGAAGCACACGCATCGGCCACGATCGGCCCAGATGCACGCCTCGGCCACAGTCGGTCGGGACGCACGCCTCGGTCACAATCAGTTGAGGCGCACGCCTCGGGCACAATCGGTCGAAGCGTGCACCTCGGCCGGCCAGCCTAGGCCGAAGCCCGTCTCGGCCAACATAAAAAAAAATCATATATGATTTGAAAAATAAAATCATATATTCTAGATTGTCTAGAATTCTATACAGTGTTAGAATGATTCAGTTTTACTCCCAAGCCAGCTCAAACACATCCGCAGACTCGGGAGTAGGGGGGCTGGTGACAGAGTAATGGTGCCAGCACCCGACCCGGGTTGTCAAACAGGTACCTGACCCGGCACCACATGGAAACCCAATGGGCAGAACTCCAACGAGCAGATAACTAATGGATGGAATGTTACCACAAGGCCATTTACTGTGTCATTGAAGAGAGAGAAATAATGGCTCCTCATTATTTCTCATCATGACATTACCGTTAGGACTTGATATAAAAAGGACCTCTCCTCAGCTAGGGAGACAAGCTCAATACTCTGTACTACGACACGACATATTCTGTATTGAAAAGACTGAACACTTAGCAATACAATTATCTCAGTTTAGTAGCAATACAACAATTCGTTATTCGAATATTATATTTCCGGTAACATATTTACTGTGCTGGCGCGGGGCCGACTCACGAGACTCGCCCATCCTCTCTGTGGGTGATCTCTCTGCTTCTTTGTTTTCGTGTCGGCGAGGGCATCTGGTAGAGGACCCCTCGGCCCATGATCTTAATCTTTGCCGCGCGGGCGCCTTGTGTCCCAATTGCTCAAGGTCAGAGTGGGAGGGTCCTGGTCGCCATCTGGCCAGTCCACTTCTTTGGGTGCCCTCCTCTTGATCCCCTGTCTTGGTATGGCGTCCTGCGTCTCTCGTTGCACAGGTCGCGTCCTGTTGTTGCTGGCCTTCTATCCATCATGGGGACTCTACCTCTATTTCCTGGGGTCGCAGCGGGGGGACCTGGCCTTGCAATCCCTCCACTGCGTGAGTTAGAGCCGTCGTCGCTTGCCGAATGGCTTCGGCGGTTGCCTGGAGGTTCACGGCTTGGTTCGTCCCTCCATTATTGAGTTGGTCCTGAGGGTCCCCGGGCCTCCCGTTGTTGAGCTGCTCTTGGCGGTTCCCTCCACGATTGTTGGTGAGTTGGTCTCGAAGGTCACCCGAGGCATTGCCGTTGTTCAAGTTGCGGGAACCGTGGGAGCTGCCGGATCCTGAGCGTGCCATTCTTTCAGACTTGTTGCTGAAAGAGAAAGTTGTGTGTATTTGCCTGCCTGAGTATTGGTTTCAGGCTCTCAATGAGAGCACCAATGACATAAATATGTTACCGAAAATATAATATTAGAATAACAAATTGTTGTATTGCAAGTGAACTGAGATAATTGTATTGCTAAGTGTTCAGTCTTTTCAATACAGAATATGACGTGTCTTAGTACAAAGTATTGAGCTTGTCTCCCTAGCTGAGGAGAGGTCTTTTTTATATCAAGTCCTAACGGTAATGTCATGATGAGAAATAATGAGGACCCATTATTTCTCTCTCTTCAATGACACAGTAAATGACCATGTGGTAACGTTCCATCCATTAGTAATCTGCCCGTTGGGTTTCCATGTGGTGCCGGGTCAGGTACCTGTTTGACAACCCGGGTCGGGTGCTGGCACCATTGCTTTGTCACCTGATATTATCAACTAGTCAAACACACTAACCCAATCAATTAACAGCTATCGGCTAATAACATTTACCAAACACCCCAATAATTTTTTTGGGTAAGAGCCAAATAAGCCCTTAAACCATTCATGAGTGTAATTAAACTCTCGAATTACAAAACGGCAAATTATTCAGTTGGTCCGGGTCCACCTTGCAATGTGAATTCATATTCAAAATACACAATTTACATATTGAATGTTCACAATTTACCTATTAAATACATACTGAAGGTTAGTTGCAAGATATTGTGAATGATTATTTTCTATATCATATTAAATAAATTTAGTTATTCTTAATGAGACATAGGAATATTATGGGAATGATTATTCATATTACAAAAAGAATACTCAATTTAATAAATTTATATATATTTCGTTGTTTTGAAATTGAACTAAACGGCATAGAAACTTATTCTTTGAAATGTTATTTCATTTTTCATGCAGGCCGGCCAGGCTTTCTAAAAATGGAATATATTTGGTCTCTTCATACAAATAAATAAATAATAGTGCATATATGCGCACATTGGATTATAAGATTGTTTATGCCAAGTTGCATTTATATATTGAGCAGAAGAAATGAAACCGTAGACAAATTCTTCTTTCTCTTTCCTCTCGAATACTGCTTATTAAACTATTAAACTAAGTTTGTGTTCGATTATTGCTTATTAAACTATTAAACTAAGTTTGTGCGGACTTCGTAGAAAAATTCCTATCATGTATATATTGCCAGGCCATCTATACCTGCTTTTAGAAACCGCCGATGAGGAACGAGGATTTACGTAGAATATAATGTACAGCTGTTCAAGGCATTGCCAAACTATTGTAACTATCTACTTTCTCGAACGTAACTCTTTAAATTTATTGCTATACTTTATTTATTTGGAGCTAATATCAGCTTTAGGGTGCGTTTGAAAACTAGGAAAATGGCTTTTTAGAAAATGTTTTCAGTGTTTGGTAAGAGGGGAAAAATGACGTCAATGGAAAATGATTCATTAGTCAAAGGAAAATATGTATGTTTTGGTGGAAAATGACTTCCCTTTTCTTGGGGAAGTCATTTTCTAAAAAAATACACATGTAAAATTTTTTGGGCCTAATTTTTTACGGACTTTTGTAAATCGGCCTACCAAACTCATAGGCTAGGGTTCATGCAACCAAAGCCCGCCCCATACGGGTTGGCGGGCCTCACGGACCGGCTTACGAGTTTTTTTTTTGGTTTTTGTTTTTTGTTTTTTTTTTTAATTCAAAGTTGAAAAATAAAAATAAAATCTACAAATAAAATTAACTTTTTTTTTGTATTTAAAAATTTAAAAAGTTACATTTTTAAAAATATTAATATTATATAAATAAATAAATAAATAAATAAATAAATAAATAAATATATATATATATATATATATATATATATATATGTGTGTGTGTGTGTGTGTGTGTGTGTGTGTGTGTGTGTGTGTGTGTGTGTGTATGAATGACTGTGTAGACACACACACACAGACAATATGGACAGAAACAATGCTATTTAGCCCCATATATTTTAAAGTAAGTTTTAATTGTTTCAAATAAAATAACTTATATATAATATAATTATATTATATATTATATTTACTTAAAACTAATATATTATTTATTGAGAAAATTTCAATTTTGGTCCAATGACCTATAGGGGTCTTGTTAATTTAGTCCTTGACTTTTAAAAGTGTCAATTTAGTACCTTAACTATGCAATTTTTGTCAATTTTGGTCACTCCGGCCAAATTCCGCCGGAAAATTTTAATTGTTAAAATAATGAAGGTATTTTGATCATTTCATGTCTCTTTTCTTCTTCCCAGGCGAGTCCATCCATTCCTCTCCCATTTCCGACGAATGCAATGAACTAAGATGTGGGGAAATGAGGCTTGATGATATTAAAGATAGGGTTTACAGGGAGAAAGAACGCCGAAAATGGGAGAGAAAGGGATGGACTCCCTGGAGATGAAGAAAAGAGGCGTGAAACAACCAAAATATCCTCATTATTTTAATTATTAAAATTTTCCGGCGAAATTTGGTCAGCAATTTGGCCAGAGTGACCAAAATTGACAAAAAATTGCATAGTTAAGGTACTAAATTGACACTTTTAAAAGTCATGGACTAAAATTAACAAGACCCTTATAGTCATATGACCAAAATTGAAATTTCCTCTTATTTATTTGTAGTGACCATTGGTTGTTGATGGCAATTTGTCCTCAAGTTAATGAAATCTATTGGTTATTCCATTGGAGGCAAGCCACGTGATGATATCAAAGATATAGTTGAAACGTATGTGAACTTATAACTATTAATAGTTATTATTAATAAAGTATGCATGATGTCATAAAGTATTTATGTATACTCTTATAATTTTAGGCGTGTGAAATCAACAAAGTTGTTGAGAAGCAATACATCAACTCGTTCACCAAAATGGATTAAAGTTTTGGTAAGGCTTTTATACATTTGTAAAACTACATATATTTTATTGTTTTTTATTAAATAAAATTTTAAATGTAATTCAATTCAAATGTAGTGTGCCAAACAAGTTGGAAGTACGTCATGTGGATACTATGTTATGAAATACATCCTTGAAATTCTTTCCAAAGAAGCATGTGCGGGAATGGATAAGGCATGTGATTTAATATAATACATTTCTCATTCTAATTTTAAAAATGCTAGCTTACTAATTATTTATTAATTATCAACTTTGTAGATTGTTGAGAGAGTTGGTGGATCGAGCTACACTCAACAAGAAATTGATCAAATTAGAGACGTATGGGCCGACTTCTTAGTTGTTGTATGGTTAAATATGTGAATTAAACTAATTGATCTTAGGTTGATAATTTTAACTTGTATTATTAATTAGTATCAAATTGTGAGATTTATTACTTTTTTTACTTGTTCGATTATAAATATTAGATTCTACATATTTTGCTGAGCTTGTGATGCAATAATTGAGTAGGTTTTGGATGTGATTGTGAGTAATTTGAACAGGTTTTTGGGTATAAATGGATAAATAAACTGTATATTAAAAAAAAAAACATACAACGTCGGCTATTTAGTAATAGCCGACGTTATATATATATATATATATATATATATATATATATATATATATATATATATATATATATATATATATATCAAAAAAAATAATAAATACTTTACAACGTCGGCTAATTGGTATTAGCCAACGTATAATATTTAAAAAAAAAACATTACAACGTCGGCTATTAGTTAATAGCCGACGTTGTAATGTATATTTTAAAAAAAACTACTATTTATTAATAGCCGACGTTGTAAGTATTTAATAATTAAATTAAAAAAATATATATAACGGCGGCTATTTAAATAGCCGACGTTATATATATTATATACAACGTAGCCCAGAATAACGTCGGTATTTAGCTGACGTTAAAGGTTCTAAATAGTCGACGTTAAAAGCCTGCTGTGTAGTAGTGATAAAAGACTTGTTTTGCTTGGGATGCCATTGTGAACTGCTCATTTTTGTGCCATTCACGATTAAAATCTACAAGTGTAAATCCTAACTCATCAACTTTTACACCATGTTTATTATCTACCCATCTACATCGGAACACTGGCACCCTAAACAAAACATAATCAACTTCCCATATTTGTTCAATCACACCATAATATGACAACTCTGCAAACACATGATTTGTATCTTTCGAACTACTGAAATGCATTGAATTTGCAACTAAAGTAACTCTACTGTTTTGCATAGTGCTCTTTTCATCTTGAGCTTTTGTATAAAAAAAAAAACCCATTAATGTCATATCCATTATGACATATGACATGTAAACCAGGACCATGTGCTAACCATAAAACAGTTTCAGAAACATTATTCTCTTCAAGAGATTTATTTTTGAACCAACGAATAAAAGTTCGATTATGTTCGCCCACAATCCACATGTCTGTCCTTCTTTGCTACCTAATCAATGCCTTGTGTTCATCTAAATACGGTTCGACTTCACTTGTATTATGCAAGATGTACAAGTATGTCTGCTCAACATCTTCACGAGGCATAGTATTCACTTTGACGCCTCGAGTACCCTTCCCAGCAATTCTTCCTTCATGTCAAATAGTCTCTACCCCTGCCAAATATTCAGTACAAAACTCAGTAATCTCCTAAGCAACATAGCTTTCAACTATAGATGCTTCCGGCCTATATCGGTTCCTAACATAACCTTTTAATACTTTCATGTACCGTTCAAATGGGTACATCTACCTCAAATAAGCTGGACCACAATGTTTGATCTCTCTCACCAAATGCACAACCAAATGAACCACGATATCAAAAAATGAAGGTGAAAAGTGCATCTCTAGCTGACACGGTGTAACAATAATGCCATTTTGCAATTCATCTAATTTGTCTGGATCAATAACTTTCCCACAAATTGCATTGAAAAAGAAACAAAGTCTTATGATGGTATATCTCAACTTTTTAGGCAATATGACTCTAACAACCACTGGCAATAGTCGTTGCATTAAGACATGACAATCATGAGACTTCAACCCCACCAACTTTAAATCTTGCATATTAACAAGTCTACTGATATTTGATGAATACATTGTGGTACCTTTACTCCACGTAAACACTCACAAAAACTTATTTTCTCCTTTTTTGATAAAGTATGAGCAGCCGGAGGCAAATATGTTTTCTTATCCCCGAAACGTGGAGCTAATGTATGTCGTGTACACATTTCAACCAAATCCAATCTAAGGTAAAAGGTGTTCCTCAGACATTGAGAGAAGATACAAGACCCCGAAATTCAGGCTGCAAACCCCGGAATATGTAAAGGTTTTGTTCTTCAAGTGAAAGGTGCTGGCTGGAGAGAGTTAGATCGTCAATGAGAACCTATGCGCGATCGATATAATCAGTAACAGAAGCATCACCTTGTTACAGCGTTTGAAGTTGCCCGAGAAAGTTCAACGAGCGAAACCAAGACGAAGAGGCAAGTGCGGAGGACATGAGCATAGAGAGAAGCACCTGAACCCATGGATGATAGGCAAGATTCGGCAGAGGTGGCACTCCTTCTTCGCCGGACGAGATCGTGGGCGGCGGGCAGGGATTGGTTTTGTCGATGAAACCCATTAGGTCATGTCCATTGAGAAAAGGAACAACTTGAGCCCTCCATAAGAAGAAGTTCCGATGAGTCAATTTGACACTGATGAAGTGATGAGCCGTGGAGAGGGTGGTTACGGTTGAAATAACCGATGAGAGAGGGGCATCAGAAACGGTCCGTTCGGAGGAATTGATAGATCCGTCGGCCATTGGATGGAAACCTTATCTAGCTAATACCAGATGAGAACTGTAATGAATTGCATTAACATTGATGAATTACAAGAGTACAAGACCTAGGTATATATACAATATGAGACTTAGGGAGACTAGGATTGGGAGTCATAAGTAAACTCAAATACATAGATAGAGTCTAATATTTAGAAGCGAGTCTGTTACATCTAAATTTTAATAACCAAAATCATTCTTGGACTATACAACAATTCACAAATTAATCATTGATTTATCAATTTTATTAAATTAAGTACTCAATAAGATGACTAACAGATGCCCTTATTGATTAGGAATTGAATAGTTGATGTCTTAATTTGGAAATGAGAAAATGATCCTTAAATATTGACGTTTAATAATTTTTACCCTCAACTTTTGATGTGAGCTTATTTGTGCATGATTCTATTGCTAATTTGAATATACTTTTGGGTTTTAAGTTTGTTAAATTGATACTTTCAGTGCATATTCCCTTGCTTTCTCATGAAGATATGATTTAATGATTGTTTTGAATGTTTTACAGTGTTTTAAAACCATTGTAGATCAATTGCAAAGGCAAAGGGAAGTTCTAAGACAAGCATGTAGAGTCGAAGACTCGACGCGTCGAAACATTCCAGTAGCCAGAATAGTCGTAGCCCAAAAGACTCGACGCATCGAGAAATTCTAGAACGCAGTGTGAAGAAAGATGTGAAGATTTGACGTGTCGAAAATCCCGGGTGTGATTTTGGAAGATTGTGTGGAAATTTCCTAATCTATTCCTATTGAGCTCCCGCTATAAAAGGTTCATCTTCCCTCAACCCAAGGGGAATCAAGCTGCGCTTTTGAAGCAAGAGAAGAGAAGATAATCACACCAGAGCTACACGTCATCTTTGAAGAAGGAGAAAGGGTAGAAGATTCAGGAGAATTTTTTTACCTTTTCTTTTACTTTCTTTGTTGCTTGTAAACTATCTTACATTATTGCAATGAATTCTATTTTAGCCTTGAGTGGCTAAATTATCTTAGAGATTCTTGGGTAAAAGTGTTTATGAACCTATGTGCCAAGTTCTTAGATTCTTTAATTGGGTTTTATAACTTGTGTTGCAATTGTGATTTATATTGTTGATGCTAGTAATTAAGGATCCAAATTACTTATTTCATAGCTATCTTTATGTCTTAACGGGAGTTAGGGTATAATTAAGAACACCCACAATTGCACTTAACTATTGCACCTTGGGAGATGACATATTTGTTAAGGAGTTAACTCTTGACTATTGCATATTGGGAGATGGCTATTAGTTGGAAATTTATCATGAATGCTTGTTCTTAAATTGTTGAGTGTTTATATCATGGGAATGAATAGTCACTTGTGTTATTTTAGGTTGGAATTATGGGAGTAGTTCATTCCATTTTTTGCATTCTCACACTTGTTTATACCCATATTTAATATTGTTCTTTAGATTGACACTAGGTGATTAAATACTTGAATCCGAGGAATCTCATTCTTCCTCTATTGTTTTCATCAATCTACTTCTTTGTTTTAATTATTTATACTTTTACAATTGCTCAATTACCCTTTTCGATAGGATTAGCTTCTCGTGAATAGACTAGTAGCTAGTGTTTGACATGCCCCGCTTCCCTGTGGATCGATAACCTACTCCGGGTAAATATTTGTTTGAGAAATATACTGCAATCAACTTTTAATTTGACAAAAAAAATGATATCTTGACTATTGATTTTGTTTCAACTTTTGAAGTGCATTATTTTCCCGCTTAAGGTGCATAAGTTCGAAGTTTAAGGTGCGTTAGTTCGAGACACCTGTTATTATTTTATCTATTGTCATTCATGGATAGTATTCCTATCGTCGTCTAAATTAAAAATACTAAAAGAAAAATAGCAATCAAAATTTTGAATATTCAAAATAAAAGAGGTAATAACCAAAATCATTTATCGACTATATGTCATAATTCACATATTAGTCATCATCTATCAATTTTTCAAAAAGTTAATTCTGGGAGTGGTCCATTATTGACTATTGACATTTATAAATTTTTATCATTGACTTTCAATTTGACCATAAATGTTCCCTTAACTATTGATTTTGTTTCAGATTTGGTCTTCTGGTTAAATATTTATTTAGTAAGTGTAAATTTAATGGTAAAATGTAAAATTAACTAGTAAAATCACTTTGGGTCTCGGCCGGAAGCGGATGCCTTGATTAAGGATTGTAAGGCCATCATGAGACATATTGGGGATATTGACATCAACCACGTCTTCCTGGAACGAAACCAATGTGCTGACTTCCTCGCCAACTTAAGCCAAAATAGTACATGGGGTACAGTGATCCTTGATCAACCGCCAGAGGGTATCACTGCTCTGCCTGACAAGGACGCCAATGGGGATGCTACTATGAGGATTATTAACTTCGGGGTTTTGGCCCTTTGTTGCACAAAAAAAAAAAACAATAATAATAAATTAAAAAAATTTATGATAGCATCTATATTATTAACAATAAATAAATAAACATTCAGTATATTCAAAATTTTACTAATTTAATTTGGAAGAGTAGTAAGTCATATGTAATTGAATGGTCACACTGGATCAATAATATCATACCATATTTAACCATCATGAAATTAAAATTAACAACTGAATTATGATGTATAGAAGGAAACTAAAACTAACATATAAGAATTGATTGCAAATTGTAAGTGTACAAGTTTAGTACACATTAAAACCTTGGTTGGCAAATTTATTTAGTTTCAATTTAATTAGATTTAAGATTAGTTTAAATCTATTTGGAAAATTTCATATTTTATAAGATTATTTGAAGTGGCTATCATTTATTGGAAATTTAAGAAGAGAAAGTCAGCAGAGCATACAGTGAGGGAAGTTCAAAATAGAATGTGTGGATGTGGTTTGTTGAAGATTATGGATGCTATCTTTATAGATAAAATCTGGTTGATTAAAAGTTACTATAAAAGGAAGCTATTCCTTTTTGGAAACTGACGAATTGAGAACTGTTATTCTAAGTGAAAGAATATTTTTCAAGCTCTTATATTATCTCTTTGATTATATTATTGAAGTTTAATTCTGGACTGCACAGACAGTACTTGGTACAGCTGAAGCTTCGCTTGAAGATTGCTATGGCATGCACGGTTCAGTCCTGAATAGGTGTTAAGAAGGGTTGTAGTGGTAAAGGCTGAGAGCCATTTGTACTTACCTCTTGTAATACTCCTTGGTGAACATCTATAGTGGATTGGGCAGATGTGGGTTGCCTCGCAGACGTAGGAGAAGCGCTCCGAGCTGCGTAACAATTCTCTTGTGTTATTGTTTTATTTTATGCTTTCAATTTTCGTTATTTACATTTGATTAACAAATCTAATTAATGAACGCGATTGTTTCATAACCTAAAATCAAGTAGAATTCTAAGGTTCATCTTGTATTCAAGATTCACGGTGCAATTGCAATTGGTATCAAAGACTTCAGACTTAAATTATTAGTCTGTCGATCTATCGATTCCGTGCCTCTTGAAGTCAAGCTTTTAGCGGCTTTTATTGTTTGTCTTTATTTTGCTCATTTGTTCGATATCACAGGTTGTTGAGTGTTACAGAATGGATCATGTTAAGGTTCTTTCCCAGCTGACCGGCGACAACTACGCCTATTGGAATGCTCGCACACGTACACACCTAAAAGCTCAAGGTGAAGTAGTGTGGCGGTCTGTGGTGACAGGTTGGACTCATCCGACCAAAGCCAGTACTAGCACTGGCGGAACACAAGTAGCTAAACCTGAAATCGAGTGGTCCCAAGCCGAGATAACTAATGCTGGAAATAATGATAAGGCTTTAGATAAGATTTACTCTCTTATTCATGAAAGTCAGTTTTCAATAGTTGCAGGTATTGATTCAGCTAAAGGTGCTTGGGAGGCTCTTGAGTCAACTTACGAAGGAACTACGTCGGTGAAACAATCAAAATTGCAGCTGGTCCAGTCCGACTTCGAAGAGCTTCAGATGAATGAGGATGAAACCATCATAAACTTTCACACACGCGTACAGGAACTGACAAATCGCGCGATGGTGCTCGGTGAACCATTCCCCCAAGAAAAACTTGTAAAAAAAATTCTGAGATCGTTACCACCAAGGTTCAGAATGAAAGTCACGACCATTCAGGAACATGACGGTTGGGAGAATAAAACGGTTACTCAGTTAATGGGAAATCTTTGAACCTATGAAATGAAAATTTTAACTGATCACACGAAAATGAAAAAATAAATAAATGTAGCTTTTGCCGCTTAAGGAAATAATGTTGTATCTGATTCAGACGAACCAGATGATGATACAGTTGTATTTTTTACTAAACAATTTTCTAAAATTTTGAAACAGGTATCAAATAATTCACGCAACAAAAATCCACAAAGAGGAACAATGTCACCCAAAGCTGGTCTTAGGACAGGCTCGTCGAACTTCAAGCAGTCTGTCTCACGTCCAGGGCAGTCCAAAGAAAAATCTAACAATAAAGGAATCAAATGCTATGAGTGTGAAGGCTTTGGACATGTACAAGCGGAGTGTCCCACCTATCTCAGATGCAAAAAGTCTATGTCAGCCATTACCTGGAGTGACGACGAACCTGACACTGAAACAACTGGATCTGATGTAGAAGAAGTCTCCGGTAATTTTGTTTCTTTTAGTGCACATGTTGCTGGATGTTCAGAACTTGAAGAAGAAGCTGACTCAGAGGGGGGTGAATATGTCTCAGCAGAAGATTTAGAATTAAATGCTTTATCTTTTGAAGTTGAGTTTAATAAGTTGTACCCCAAATGGGAAGAAGCCCTACGAAAAGCAAATCGTAGATTAGCTAGTGAGATAGGGATTGTAACAAATGCTAGCAAAGTGTATCAAACTCAAATAGCTGATAGGGATGTACTGCTTAAAGAAGCGGCTGACCGAGAAGAGAAACTGAAACAAGAAATACAGACTCTGAAGCAGGAGCTAAGCACCTATAAAAGACAAATTCAAATGATGGACACCATTTCAACACTTGAAAAAATCCTTGATTCTGGAAGAAAAACTTCTGCAAAATTTGGTTTGGGTTTCACCGGAAGCAACTCAAAGGATAAAACGGTATTTGTCAAAGCGTCTGGACCTGATCCAGAGGACATTCCTGAATCCAGCTCAATGAAACATACCCATGGTATAGTAAGATCAAATAAGCTACATTACAAACTCTATAACCTCGTATGTCATTATTGCAGGTTGCGCGGTCATACCAGACCCGAATGCTACTACTTCTACAAGGATCAAAGAATCGAGAAGTTCAGGCACAAGAACATCTAACCTTTTACCAAACAGATTTGGGTCAAAAAGACTGACTATATTTCTTTTGTCTCATTTCACACTAAAAGTGCAAGAAGAGAAGAGAAATGATACGTTGACAGCGGGTGTTCCCGTCACATGACAGGAAATGCCAAATTCCTAAGTAACATAAATGCCAGCAAAGGTGAAGTTACCTTTGGCGACGGTATTAAAGGTCAGGTTACTGGCATAGGCACGCTAAATATAGTTGGGCTGCCAAAGCTAGAGAAAGTCTTGCTTGTCAGTGGACTTCACGCAAATCTTATAAGTATAAGTCAACTATGTGACCAAAACTGGATCGTGTGCTTCACCAAAAATAAATGCAGTGTCCTGGACAAAACAAATCAAATGCGTTATGGAAGGTAAAAGGTCAACTGACAATTGCTATATTGTAACTAACATATCTTCTGTTGCAGGACCAGCATAGATGAAGCTGAGCTATGGCACCAAAAACTGGGGCATCTGAGTTACAGACTACTTGATAAACTAGTGAAGATAGAAGGTGTTCGTGGTTTACCCAAAATAAAAGTCGAATCAACCATTTGTGGTGCCTGCCAAGCTAGGAAACAGACCAAATCATCTCATCCAGCTAAACATACCATAAACACGAGTCACTGCCTAGAACTGATCCACATGGATCTCTTTGGTCTAACTCAAACAGAGAATTTTGGAGGTAAGAAATACATACTGGTATGTGTTGATGATTTTTCACGTTTTTCGCGGGTAATCTTTCTCAGGGAAAAATCTGAAGCACTTGAAGCTTTCAAAATACTGGGATTGAAACTCCAAAAGGAAAGAAATGAACCTATTATTCGAATTCGAAGTGATCACGGACGGAAATTCGACAACTTGTTCGATGCCTTTTGCGATCAATCAGGAATTACCCACGAGTATTCAGCACCAAAGACACCTCAACAAAACGGAGTCGATGAATGAAAAAAAAAATCGCACCATTCAAGAAATGGGACGAGTCCTGCTCAACGCCAAAGGATTACCTCAAAAATTGTGGGCAGAAGCTGTAAACACCTAATAGGAACCAGTACACATGGAATCCAGAAAGGGTAAATAGTGGGCTCATCACAAGGCCCATAACGACGACCTTAAAACATCATTGGTGGAAGAAACAACAAAGACCAATAATAAGTCCATTCGATAGAGGAAAATATTATAGTGGCCAATTTCAAGTGATATCATGGATCGAAGACAATGCTTACAAGATTCGAGGTCGAATCATTTTCAAGAAGGGGAGGATGATGCGGCCCAACATATGAAGATCCATTAAGAATACTAATTGGGCCAATCACAAGGCCCAAGTCCAAACAATTAAGGCAACTCTTCATTGGTGATGTTCAAAGATGGTGGAAATCCAAGTCAAGCCCATTTGCAAAATATGAAGAATAACTCAAGGCTTTTTTATAATTGTTTAAGTGCTGATTTTGGTGATTAAATTAGGCCCAAATCAGCCCTATTATTTTTGGTCATCATTAATTTAAATTGTTTGGCATAAAAGAGAAAACACTAGTTGTATTTAGAAAGGATTCCTTAAATCCTATTCTAAATAAAACTCTATTTACTTGTTTTCTAGATTAGGTTTAGGACTCTTTTTCCCATTGTATTTAGATTACAATGCTGCCCTATACCTATAAATAGGGCACATCCATATCAGTTTTAGACAGGCTTTAATTCAATAAAATTCTTAAGTTTTTCTTTACACTTGTGTAAGAAACCTTATGGCTAATTGTGGACTCAATTAGTAGTTAGTCGTGGACTCGACTAGCAAATTGATTCGTGGACTCGAATCAATCTTACTTTCTTCAACCTTAGATTTAGGTTCGTGGACTCGTTCTTGAATCGAAGGAAACTAGATCCGACTCTAGTTGATTGAAGATTGCAACATCGAGGTACTTGAAGCTACATGGGATTCTTCCAAGTCTTTGAGGATTCGAGACAAAGGGTTTCTCGTGAGGTTTAAGGTATTTCGATCCATCTCTATCTTTACATTGAGAGCATTCTTGGGACAATACACCATCTTATTTGAATCTTGGATTAGGTTCATATCAATTTGGTATTCAGAGCCTAGGTTTGTCTCATTATCATTGGAAATTTGGTTTCTTTGGTTCCCTAGGTTTATCTCGTTCTTATCTTACATACTACTTTTTTCGTGTCTTTTTCATTAAAAAAACCCCAAAAAAAATTTTCTTTTGCATTCTTGATTGTGTTCTTGAATCTTGATACATGTTCTCCAGTTTCTTGAAAAACAATCCCGAAAGTGTTTTCCATTTTTCCCGTCCAATATCAATGAGAACTCACACCTCCTAAGCACCATATTATCACATATTCTGTCAAGAAAACAACCCCATCTTACCCTTACCTATATCCAAAGCGCATTTACGCGCAATCACGTCTCAATCACACCCTGTCCAGATTTCCGCGAGCTGTGACCAGTTTCAAAGAATTACCTATATATCGAGATCCACTGGTTAGTTTTATCTGAAATTTGGATATGTTGTAGATCTCTTCTGGGGCGTTCTGTTGATATATTATACACTGTCTAATTCCTTCTGGTTAGTGAGATATTGATCTTCAAAGTCAGGGCATTGTTTCTGTTTTTCTAGGCGATTCTTGAAATTCTTGATTCTGTTTTGAAGGGGTTGTGTGGATCCTCTTGGTCCGAAATTTTTGTTGATATTTACAGTGGTTATTTGGAGGTTTCTTATTAAAAAAAAAAGAGAAAGCAAAAGAAGAAGAAGAAGAATAAGGTTGGTAGGAGAATCTTGGTGGGAAAAGGAAGGGGAAAAGTATAAGGTTGGATGGAGTTCTTGATAGATTCCTAATTGGTTGTGGTACACGTGAACCCCTTTTATATTCTATTTGTCTCTATCTTTTGATATTGGTCTTGCATATCTTTCTGCGATACTTCCTTCCTTGGTTTCCTTTTTCTTTCAAATCTTGTTTAGTTTCTTTGCTTGTATTGTCCTTTTTCTTTGCTTCTTGCTCTCAATTTTATTACCTACCTCACGGTACACCCTTACTCTCAAAGGCTTGTGAAGTCTTCCAAGGTACGTTTTCTTGAACTTTGAGGTTGAATCCATATCAACTGGAGTACCGGACTAGAATTTTCCTTTTTGGAAAAAGGCTTGTAAGAGTATATGCCACCTTGAGCGATACACGAGTGGAGTGTGTGTTTGTAAGAGTGTGTAGTGCACCCCCAAAATCCATATAATCCACCTCTTACTTGCGAGCTGAGAATAGGGAGGGAGCGAGCCAACTTTTTGGTTTCACTAACGTGACTACTCACACATCTTCTTGTTTTTAGATATTTTTTTTCGTTTACAGATGGCTCAACAACTTCCAAACTTGCCGCATAAATTAGAACAAAAAATAGACAGGTTACTCAAACGAATGAATAATTTAGAGCAACGCTCACAGCAAGTGCAACCACCACACAATGATGAGCGACACCTGCCACCAGTAGGAAGAGTGGATCCTAGATGTCAAAGAATCCAACAGCGTAATACGGAGTTAGGAAACATTAAACATGAAATTCCTAACTTCACCGGTGAGAAAGGACCTACCGAATACATAGAATGGGAGAATGCTATTGAAACTCTTTTTTATTTAAAGCAAT